TTAGAAAATTAACTCAGCAATAATTAGATAATTGTTGCCCGCTTAAGAAAGCATTTTGTGTCTCCCGGTCGGAATGGGTGACAATGATTATAAAAAGGAACCTCAAGAAGAAAAGAAGATTGTGGAAAACATATGCCAAATATCAGCAACCCGAACACTTCTCCGAATTTACGATACAGCTAAATCTATGTCAGAAACTCCTACGGAAAGTCCGATTGGCCTGTGAGGCAGAACTAGTCCGGAGAATAGCCAAAAACCCAAAAAGATCTTTTCTTACGTGAATAAGGCAAAACGCAATCGAGCTCCCATTCCTTGTCTGAAAGCTAACCAGGGAAACACGTTTACCGATGACTCAGATAAGGTGAATCTCTTGTCTAACTTCTTTATGTCTGTCTATACCGATGAGCCGCCTTTTAACGAGGGTGTTCAGCGAGATATTATCCCAGCAGCGGAGAGAATTAGCACTGTATCGTTCGCACCAGAATGAGCTCGCAGAACAACTGGCCTCCCCACTTTCCAGCATCTTCGAAAGTTCATTTGAAAAGGGGGCTCTGCCTACTGACTGAAAGCTGGCCAAAATAATCCCTATTTATAAAGAAGGAGGGAGAACGTCGCCTAATAGCTCTTGACCAGTTGGTATCACAAGCATTTGTTGCAAACTAATGGGGAAAATAATCACAACGGAACTAATAAGAGGCATTGAGGAGAACAACTTCCTCGGCGCGGCGCAACGTTGGAACCGAAGTGGTCGATCTTACTAACCTGCTAACATCCAGGGAAATCTGGACGAGTTCTTTGGAAATGGTTTCGTCGGTCGATGCGATCTACATTAACTTCAGCAACGCATTCGACAAGGTTTCACACAGATGACTAATACCAAAGCTGTACCAAATGGGTGTGACTGAAAATGTACTCAAATGTTTAGCCGACTTTCTAACAGGCGGGCGTCAGCGTGTTTGTATTGAAGACACCAAAACAGAATGGGAACCGTTTCCAGTGGGGTTCCACAGGGAAGCGCTCTGGGTCCCATTCTGTCCCTGTTATATGTGAAAGACAGTTTTGATTGCCTCACCCGTGATAACTTCATGTTTGCAGACGATTTGAAGATTCTAAAGTCATTCGAAAGCTTGGAGGATGGAAAGACCTTACAAAGTTATTTGGATTGCTTGCAGAATTGGTGTGAAAGGTGACTACTGTAGCTCAAGTTCAACATATGCCAAGTCATCTGCCTACGGTCTAGTTGCAGAAAGGTAATAACATTTGAGTATGACTACTTAGTCGGAGGTCACCAACTCGGGCAGGTGGGCGAACTACGGGATCTAGGTGTATGCATGACGCCCAACCCCAAACCATCAACTCATTGTGCGAAAACCGCAAAGAAGGCTATGGGAATCCTATGAGCGATCAGAAGATCCCTCCTCTACATATATATGCGGAGCTTTTTGGGCGAGTCTTCGGAAAATTTATTCGGCCGATTTTAGAATACTGCGTCCAGGCGTGGTGCCCGGGATGAAGCAAGATTAATTAATGCTGAAGAACGTTCAAAGAAGTGCGATCAAATCAGTCAGCGGCTTAGGAGGTCTATCATATGAAGGTCCACTTCAAAGGCTCAAGCTTTTTCCTCTCTATTATAGGCAATACAGAGCAGCTATGGTCGTGGTCAGCGGAGTACAGTGCACAGTAACACACAGTTTGAATAAACTATCTTTCAACTTCGTGATCGACGCCAACTAAAAAGTCACCAGATACAAGGCAACAGTCTTGACCGCGCCTGTAGAGTAAATCTCCTTGAGGGCACATGATTCCCCCCGTCAGTCCCATGCAAGACAAATCTAAGACGCTAATTCTAAAATCTCTGCCATCCTCAGATGCACAGATAACGAACTAGTAGATCGACCCTTCAACTGTCTCCATAGTTTATTTTGTCTAGACTAAGAAACTGAGGGACGGTGGATTCCATTTAAATAGCGACCAGCTGCGCGTAAAATAATCGAAATTACTTTACAGGAAGACACAAAGGGTTTTAATGCAAACACCCAGATTTTGAGATTCGGGCTGTGCCCTACGGTTATGCGACAACTCCACAACGTCCATATCAGCTAACCTGATGTGAATTCTCTACATCAATGAGGTACACGGTCGCACACAGCTGGAGCGTTATCTGTGCCCTTTACGGACTTCGTTATTATTTAATAACGGCCGGCACAACACAGAAACTCAAACGTAAATAAGGCATATAATCACTTTAAACCAAGGCCCAAGGTTGTCATACAATTACAATCGGCCAGAATAACCCATAAGGTCATAATCATTGCGAATGTATTTAGATTCAGTTCTTTTCATCATATTGAGGAAAGTAGGCGGGGGCCTTTGAGATCCGCAGTTGTGGCATAAAAGTGGACTAAGTGCATAGTGGGACCATGTGATTGCCACTGTTTTTAGGAGGATCCTAAAATATGGCCACTTTGGTGGGAACTCAAGGATTACTTCTAATGCCTCATCGCCCAAGGTTAGTTTGGTGCGTAAATCTTCCCTGATGCCTTTTTAGACTTTTTCTGCAGGAAGGTAGTTCATGGTTTAACCGTGCTGACAGAGAAAGATAACCTGCACACACTCAGCATTTCCTGCTGAATACGCAGTTTTAATATATGATCTCGGTAAGTGATTGTCGTAGAAAATCCAAAGAAGTCCTTAAAAGTCAGGTGACAATCGAAATGCGGAGTGCTTGGGAGAAATCCCGCATATCTGCCTATAATTCAAAGGAAAGTGATGAAGGTTTGGTAGTTTGGCTGCTTTTAATAATAGTATTAATAAGGTTTATTTGGAAAGCATATCTTCGGCGCCGTCAAAAGGCACGAAAAAAACTAGCCCAAAGCCCCTTCTTTTGCGATCACTATTGGCTTTGTGTTGGTCTTTTGCTTGGTCAATAGTGTGCGAAATAAGGAGTTTATTTTAAGCGAAAAAACCTGACGACAAACTGTAGCCTTTAACCATTCTGGTGGCTCTCTGTCGAACTCCAGAGGAGCACTTATGTTCGTGACCTGTCAGCGGTCTCTCTAATGTATTCCGTATTGAAATGTGCGATTTTTTATAAAATGCTGAAAGGGTGGTCTTCATTAGTACCTACGGCAACCCGCCTCATAGCGTGTAAGGCGGAAATTGCTAATTTTGCTAATCTTGAACGGCGAGCGCACAGTCCTAAGGTGTTCTTTGTCAGCAAATCGAGGTCTTCTTGAGCATCCACGTCTTGTAAGGTTCAACCGTCCACAGAGTAACTTCTGGCATTGGTGAATCTGGCGGGGTTGCCTAGGCGAAGTATTGTAAAACTTCCGACGTTGAAACACTGAAGCTAGCCATCTGACCACCCACACAACCGATTAACTTTGATCTACTATCTATCTTTTTCAATGGGTTTGCGGATTTTATTCAAGATTTGCATGTCGAAGCAAAAACTGCGGCGTCACAATCCCAAACCCGTGCACAAAAAGACACCTGTTAGAGTTAAAGTGATGCTCAGCATTGAACCTTGGAGAAACACGCGGTCGAACGTAGCAAGACTTGATTTCCACCGGCCGATGGAAACAACATGGCACCAACCAATAAGAAAGTGGTCAATTCATTTTTGGGTGTTAGCTCTGATTACTATTTTTGTAATTTAGAGAACGGTAAGTTTATCTTTTTCGTCCTCGTTAGTGATTCACTATATTTCGATCCCAGTATAAATAATTTTTCAATACTCTTCTGTAAGCAGGAGATTAATGGCGCCTAATAGGTGCTATATCAGCAACCGTATTAACTTATATGTAGGAATTGACGGAAATCATTACAAATCTGTTTACTTAGATCTTCGGTCGATTTCCAGAGAGATAGTAAAATGCCCTGTCCACAAGGCTAACATATACTGAAATATTTCATATTTTTCAATCAAATTAACATCACAATGAAAAATAATTTTTGGCGTGTTGGCTTACCAGCATGATAATTCGGGAAAGCATCTCGGATAAGCAGCTTCTGGATTTACAATTACGTCACCCGAATTCAGAAACTCAATATTCCAGTCTCTTTATTTTTAATTTATAATACAAGCAAATATCAATCTCCAAGGGATTTTGAATTCTGCAGATGACGACTGGGTAGTGGGTTTGAAGTAAAATACCCGGAGAAGGATTTTTGCATTATGAGCTTACTAGCCGAACTAAAACCCACGGCGCACATACGGAGGTTTACTTTAACTTAAATATTAAAACTTAACGAGATATTAGGGTTTTTGTTATCACTTGAGCAACTATTTACGAAAAACACGGACACTTTTGGATATACTTGAAGCAGTTATTTTTGCGAAGTTGATCATTAAAAGTGATGTCCTTGAAAATAATGATCAACTTCTTAAAAATTGCTAAACATGAAAAAGTCGAACAGAATTCTGTTGAATATATATAACCTTTATCATTTTGCTATTTAATTTACTGTATTTTCCTGGAAAAAAGAGCGTAACCAAAATTATTTCAATTCATAATGCTTTGTGTGTGTCCTTGAGAGGCTATTTAAACCACTCCTCGCCCGCGCTGTCTGATTTACACTTTATAGCATCAAACATGTGCAGTTTGTCGTCTACTGCATGGCTTGACTCTTTGCCAGTGAAAGATAGGACCTCCCTTC